TATCAAATCCAAACCCCCTTTCTTCCATTAAAGAATGGCAGATACATGGATCTGACATGCATATTGTCTCCATATATGTAAGGATCCATATATGTAAGGATTGTTCAACAGATGAAATCAAAACACTAGCTATCTGCATTTGAAGAAAGCATAACTTTACTAGTTCAAAGTAAGGAAGACTCAGAAAAACTAATTAGGATAATAAAAATGAAAAGTGAAAAAATGAAAAATGTGAGTTAATGTTAAATATTACAAAAACAAAGCTAAAATCAGACAGCATACAAAGAGATTCAATCCTTGGTAATATATTAAAACCTATGAAGATGTGATACTGAGAAAAAGTGCAAGGAAGAAGACAGATTATTTCAAATGATGGTTTTAGAAATGACTAGTGAAAGTATCATGGAATATTTGTCCAAACATTTTTTATTTATTAATCACATCTCTGTGACATTTATTAGTCACAAGAAGTGGCTCTAGCAAAGCTGCTAAATGAATGGCAAGCATAAAGGGCATCTTTATATTTAAGATATTTTACATTTATATTAAATATATATTAGAGGTATTATATTAGAGATATTTAGGCAAATAAATTTTAAAAATAAATATATTTACCTAAGAGAACTAGGAGGGAAATTAAACTACTCTAGTACCTTATATGTACTCTACATTATATGTATACTTCTTTTGGAATATATTTCAGAAAGTTCAATACCTGAAAAAAGCACAGCTGTTTGGGATTAGTTAATGCAATTTTATTATTTCAGTGTTTTGCCATTAGCACTAGCTTCCAGTTCTTTTCCTGGCCCAGTAGTAAGTTGATGGCAGGCTATTCAATGGGGTGTCTCCTGAGGAATCTCTAGGAATATTGGCCTAATGAGGCAAGATACATGAGAAAGGATCTTGGTCAATACCACTGCCTCTTCCCTGAGTATAGAATGCCATTCTCAGCTGCCATTGGATAGTAAGGGTTGGATTTTTTTTTAACTTTCCCAGTCAACATATAACAGAGTAGAAGCTTATAACATTTGCAGCTGTGGAATGACAGGTTTTTCTTCATAATTTTTTTCTACATAAATTCATCCAACAAGACTGAGTCAAAATAGTTTCAAATTAAACCAAAACAACATCAAACAAACAAAATCTTCATCTAACACATGTTGGGTCATGATATTAGCCAACAAGTAATGGCAATGCAACTTTTAGCTTTAAAATAGGGATCAGAAAAATTTACAGAAGGCTGTATTCTGCCCTCAGTATTTATTATTAGACTTCTATGCTGCTCATATCACCAAGGCAATAATAATATCACAGCAATATGCCACTGAAGCCAGTTACTGCAAAATACAGAAGAAGCTACTATGTTTTATGAGTCACTTGTGAGCATTGTAGTAGAAACCTTGAATAATAAAGGAGATAATCACTGTGAAAGGAACATATCAAATAGTACTTTGTGAGTTATTTTCAACTTTAGAACCTCAAAAATGCAACTATTAATGTTGGATAGATTCCAGGGTAGTTTTGTAAGCACAGATCTACACAGCGTTATGACTTTACAAAAGGAGGAGACCCTTTTGGAAAAAAGACAGATGATGTAGTAAGCATTGGGATCCCCAAACCAGCAGAGATTGATGTATTAATCTACTAGAATGTACAACTTCCCAACATATATTAATCCTTTGTTGCAGTTCTTCATTAGAACTCTCAATATACATGTGTTTTAGAAAATTAAAACAGAAAATGGGAAAGGTTTCTTCCTTTTAGTCCATTTTGTTAATTAATATGTCAAAGATCATAAAGAACTCATCAGCTTTTCTCCATTACTGCATCATTTTAAAGAGCTGTGTCAGCAGAAACTTTAGCAGACAGTCAATACATATTAAGACAAGTTCCAAGCGTTAAATAATAAGAAAGAACTATATGAAAAATGAAAATAAAGCAAATAGCTAGAAGCTAATGGAATCCCATTTGTGACTTTGCATAAAAGGGAGGAAAGGGCAGCATTTTTCCAATACAAACAATAGCTTGTACATAAATCCTTCCAATCTATGCTATTATAACCACCATAACAGCTGTATATTTATAGCAAGTTAAATTAAGATAGTCATTTTTGTTGCCAAATCTGATTTGAAACCTGGCTTATTGAAACACACTCGGCAGAAAAGCTGTGAAAAACAACTTTTCTGAGATTACAAAGGAACCCTAATGTAGCTGCATCCCACTGGATATATTGTCTGAAAGTGTAAAAAACTGGGAATGGATGCTGATGGGAAAATACTTTTGTTTACTCTGTAATTTATTTCATTGTGTTTTTACATTCACTTGGTAGTCAAGATTAAACTGTTCCCCTGATATTCTATCAGGCTACTATAGAGGAGCAGATTTATTTTATTAAAATGTTATGCCGCCCATCTCACTCTTCAAAGCAATTCTTTGGAGCTATAGATCTTCTTGACCAGATCTGTTGACATACCAGCTCCATTTCCTTCCTTAATTGACATCTAGTAGCTGGGAGTTTATCACATTGTTCATATAGGGAGAAATGGAAATAGGGTCATTTTGGCAGACCCACTCCTATTATCTTCCCCATTTCTCAGATGCTCCCAAGCTAAGTGGGCAGTGGGTAACTTTATAACTGTAAAAAATAATTCTTGGCTTTACTAAGAATCTATTTCTGGTTGTATGAAGCTGCTGTGGAAGTTATTTTTTAGCTTTAAGTCAAATCTTGGCCAAGCCAAGAAACCAGCAATTCCTGTTTAGACCGCCATTACTTTTCTTTACACAATAGCACTAGCTAGTTCAGAATTCAGGATCTCTGTGGGAGTTTTGTTTTCCTTGAGTATTGTGTTAAAAACAGTGCTAAATCAGAACTTGAAAAAAGATGAGCTAGCCTTTTGCTTACAACCTGGGATGATGAAATGGCAAAACTGAGACAACAGTGGAGTACTGTAAAGTAAGAGGTGAGATATAGGAACAGTGTTTCCCATTTCTGTCTGCTTGTTTATCTATCTTGCCTATGCATCCATGTTTGTATATCATATGCCTCTAAATGCCACAGCTGTACTCTGGTTGAAGTTTGCCTGTAATGGCATAAAGAGGCCCCTAGAGCAGGTATGGAAATTGGAAATGAGAGCTTGTTTAGTTTGAAAACAAGTCCTTGCCATTGATTATGACTATAGTGGGCCTCATTTCAACATGGGCTCCCATTTATTTTTTGGCAAACAAAATGCAGCTGCTACGTTTGCAAACCATGTCTTGAGTAGCAGGGCAAAATTTCCAACTGATGAGTCACTTTTTGGAAAGATTTTCAGCTTGAGATTTAGCAGTGGTTTCAGAGAGGAGGATGAAAGACAAGATCAGGTGAAACCTTCAATTTCAAATCGAAAAATAATCTTTTGTACACTGAAGGCAAAGGAAAGAACTACAGGGTTGGAAAAATTAAAAAGATTACATTCTTCCACCACAGAAATGAAAATTGCTGTATGCCAAAAGGATTGACTAAAAGTATCTCACTAAAAATGTCAGTAATATAGTGCAGTTACTTTGTTCAAATAAAGCTTTATTATGCACAATATATTATCACCATGATTATTAAAGCAGACAATGTAGCCTTCATTTTTTAATTTTGCAAAACATATAACAAAGTTTGTTCAAAATGGTTGCTTTCCACATATCCTTTAAAAGAAGGATATAGTTTCTAAACTAAATAGAAAAGGCATTAAAATATTTATCTATGAGATTTTCACTGTGGTATTAATAATCTAAAGCTTTTTACTCCAAGAGAAATTAAATAGTTTTCTAAACTTGTGCTAGACTATACTGCATTTAATTTCTACATATATGTGAACTTTTCCCTTCAGATACAAAATATTCTGTTTATGAGAATGTTTCTACATAAAAGGATTACTGTGATAGAGATGAGAAATAGAATCCAACAACCTAGGCCATGTTATTAATTAGAATTCAATAGATAATAGTTAAAGATTTTCACATTTGTAATATTTTGGGATAAATGACGTAAGCAATTTTCTATTATTCTGTCAGAGAGAATGTTTTGCAATTCTAGAGAAGGAAATCTAAACAGTTTTCAACATTTGTAATAGTCATCCCAAAATTATGCTACAATAGCTAAGGCAGAACAGGACCTTATTATATAAGGCTTTCAAATGCTTCCCCCTAGCCAAAGCAGTATTTATAGTGATCCAGAATTCCATTATAAAATATGGATCAAATGAAACTGAAGCTTTGGGTCATAACATTTTAATCATATTCTTTCAGTCTAGAACTTGAAACAACACATAACCATCACAATTTTTTAAAAGATTACAAAAAAATCTTTCATTTAAAAAAAAATCTTCTATTTTTTCAGATCAGATGGAAATTCCATTGTGTGTTAACTGCTGCGAGGTAAGGTTATGTAATGTTTTATTTAGGAACTGACCTATGCTTGGAACTGAGCTTCTGAAGCAAAGAATCAGTGCTTAATCTAGAAATGGAATCAAGTTTATGTAATGTGACACAAATTTACTCAAGACTGCCAGCAGCATATTACCTAATCTAGGAAGGTCAAGATGAAGATGAGTTTGAAAATCTAGGAAAAACTATATTCTACATAGCTGGAATGAACTATACCAATCAGCTGACTCATATTGACAGACGAAAACATTAACATAATACACTAAAAATAATCCCCCAAAGCAATGAGCTCCTAATGAAACTCCCTACCACTATCACCATGTTTTTCCTTTCCTCCCTAGCCTCCTTTTAAATGGCTTTTTAGTTTTAACTGTTACTTGGAACACATAATTGTTTTTAATTAAAAAGCCATATAACTGCTGCTTTTGCAAATTATTCAATTTTCAGTCAATATCCTAGAAACAGAAAAAAGCTTAATTTTCCATTATTGATTAGAGATTTATCCTGAATAGGATTTAAGTAACTCTATTTTATATAATATTTTAATTGCAAATATGGAAAAACTAAGGGGGGGGGAATCTTACCTAGTTTCTGAGCAGTCAATAAGACAACTTTACTTTCATCTGCCACTAGAGAAAAAGAAGGAAAAGAAAGTGCATAAAAATCAGATTTAGTACTAAATGAAGAAACCATACACCATCAGTAACACCCTAGACTATATCCCAAAACAAATACACTTGTTTTTACAAAGTTTTTATTTTTGGTGTCTACTTCATAAATAAATATAAAATAGCAACACATTTAAAACTCTAATTAAATTAAAGTTAAAACTAGGCATGGGTTATTAAAGTATTTTTAAGTTAAATTAAAGTTAAAACTAGGCATGGATTATTAAAGTATTTTTGAGCAAAGATAACATTTCAATCTTACTACATATTTTTCCAGCTAATTTCAGTGGAAAGCAGAAGTAATGTACAAAAATAACTCCAATGCACAAAAATGGAAGCATAATAAAATGCACTTGATATAACATAGAGGTTCCCAACTTTTCCGGCTTGCTGGATCTGTGGGGGGATGTGAGTGCCAGTGCCCACCAATCGCACAAGTGGAGCTGCCCAGGCCTGGATGCTTGCCACTGCTCATGCAATTCAGTTCTGAATGGGCTACAGTCTGGTATTTGGCCATGGCCTGTGGATTGAAGTATATAATATGCTTCAATCTTAAATATAAAAAACCAAACCTCCACAAATGATTCATGTTTTTGCCAATAGCATTTTTAGCCAAATTCGGCATTATGTTTCTCTTAATCTGATCTCCAATCAGAATGTCCCCTCTCCTAGATATGCATATTCTATTCACATTGGGAGGAAGGCTTCCATTGGCAAGAAATTCTAGAGCAATTCTACAAGGAAAACCTACTGTTTCCAGTTCTGATTCCATTAACAGGGAAATACTTAATATTAAGGTAAAAGTTTGAGCAGAGATTGGTTTAAATCTATTTTCGCATGGTTAGTCAAACCTCCAAAAATATGCCCACCAGCAGGCATCCCCAAACAAAAAGCTTTGAGTATGAAAAATTTGGCGAACCAAGATAAATTCTTTACTTTCAAGGTGGCCCCTGCATTGCCCCCCCCTTCTCTCTTTCATAGTTTGTTCTTTTTGCAGAGAGAGAGTCAAAAACTAAGTTTATATGAGCTCTAATATAATAGGTTTGGACAATGGAAAATCTATCCACCCCCTTCCCAGATATCTCAGTAAAATCTGAAATATTTTCTATCTGTATAAAGCGAACCGAAAATATTTCACAGAGAGCAAATTCATCAACTAAGGTCGTGTTTCCACAACCCCCAAAACTTCTATGCTTTTAAGGACCTAAATAAATTACTTTCCCTGATCTGAATGTATTTTAGTCAGGGGGAAAATCAGTTGCTAGCTTTCTAGATGGATATTATCCTTACACAGCCCTTTCCACATAATAAGGATATAGTGTCATCAATTAATTTTAAGTCAATGATTGTGCCAGTAACATTACTTCAGTTGCTCTTATTTCTGCATTGCAGTGTTTCCACATCTAAGGATGCAGAATAGTACAGAGAACATGTCAAACCATGGCTCAGATGCATCCTTTTGCAAACATTTTAGCTGTTTTGTTTTTAATGGAAAATCTTTCATGAAATGCTAATGATATTTTATCTTTAAAAAAATGAAATCATTTTGAGGACTTCAACAAAATTGTCAGATAAAATTCTTATATGCAAGAAGACCAAAAGCTTCTATTATTTCTATTTAGGTTTGATAGATGAAATTGGTGAATTGTTTGTTTCAACTGCTCTTACCAACATCAGAGTCAGTGTCAAGCCATGATTTGATAGCTTGGTACATTAAATGATTCATCAATAGAACAAACCACTGCCTACAAGTTCAGGAGTCTTGAGCAACATGCTTGTATGCATTCTGCATGATTATGCAGGATGAATAGCAACTACTATTTGATACTGTATTGCATACTTCTTTCCTTCCCCTCTTTTCACAATAGCACTCAAGAAATTACTTATTCTGTAGTCACTGGAATAGCTGTTATATTCTTTTTAAAGTACAAAACAAGATTATCTGAATGCTATATGTATGACTGAAAAGTAACATTTTCTCTCTCTTTGTCACATCTCCTGAATACAGTTAAATGTCTTTGGATCTAAGTATGTGCAAATCTTTTTCCAAACCATCTAAAATAATATATCAGCCCTTGGCAGAAATCTATTCTGAAGCAGGTAATAAAGAGTTGGGATTTTTTTTTATTCCAGGAGCGTACAGCGAAATCAAAATGTAGACAAATTTTCACAATGTTATAATTCATAATGCTATATTTTGTCAGGACTATCTTACTTCCTCACATAGTATTGTTATTATCAGGACAATACAAACTTTCTTTTTCCTTAATAACACTTCTGCTTTTCATTCCTAAGTAATACACAACAAATGAAAGCTGGTATATGGCTTCCTTTACATTCTTGTTGCTGTATGTCTTTCTCATACAAAAAATGAAGCACAATGAAATACTGCAAAACCCCTCATAATTAAATACTGCAAAACATTAATAATCCACATTATAATGAAACCTGTAATAGCCATTATCAGTTACACTCAATTTCCAGGTCATAATGATGAGCATTCTATTATAGAAAAGTTACCAGGAAAGATTGTCCTTAGTAGAGAATCACAGAATGGGAGCAATCTTGGAAATAATCTGTCCAATATAGAATAGGTTACCTCAGTACCCCTGGCAAATAAATGTCCATTGAGCCTCTGTTTAAAGACCTTCCATGAAGGAGCTTCCTCCACATTTCAGGTTACTCTGATCTATTGTTAAATAGCTCTTATCATTAGGAAACATTTCTCATATCCAACTACTGTCAGCCCTGAAGCCATTTTGGAAGCATCTTCAGGGCTGCCAGAGCAAGGCTGGTTGGGGCTGTGAGAACATAAGTGGGGAGATAGAGACAACTGGGGATGTGTAGCCAAAATAGCATTCTTTCCTGTGGGAGCCAAGGACGTTCTACCAGATGTTGGAAAAGCATGGACCAAAGCCAGCCAGGATGATGGCTGTGACCTGGATGGACCATGGAACGGACATGTGACCTGAGGGGGAAAACTTTGGGGTGTGATTTGGGTGGGGAAAACCTTGGGTCCTTTAGGGTCAGGTTTTCCCCAGATGTGCCAATATGACATGTCTAATAAATCTATATTTTGAGGAACATGCCTGTCTTGGAATTTTGATTCCATTGTGTGTGTGGACTGGAACCCTGACAAATACTTCCTTTCAGCTTAAAACAGTTGTAGGCAGAAACCCTAAACTGAAGAGTGAACAGAGATTGGAGAAGGATACTACAAACAACAAAAAGGGGCTCTTCATCTATATTCAAGAGTGAATATGGCAAAAGGATATAACATCATCTTTTGGGATCAACAAAACACCATCTTACATGTTCAAATGCAGCATCTAAATCCAACTGGGTTGCATTTATTATGTTCTGCCATCTTTGCTTCGGCCTTCCATGCAGACGTTTGCCATCTGTGTTAAAGTGGAAGATTATGCAAGCAATAGTGTGGGGTGCTGCTGGTAGGACATGACCATATCATTGTATGTATTTCACCCACATCTTCTCAAATACTGCTGCAATGCCCATGTGCTGCCATACTGAATCATTGCTGACATGATCAAGAGAAACACCTAATGACCAATGAAGCATGTGCATCTCTGTGGCATGTACAGAGCTCTCAATGCATTTGGTGGTTGGCCAGCACTCAACACCAAGTAAAGTTATTGCATGTATCATTGTTTTATACACCTTTTATTTCAGATAGATTGGTGTGCACTGATTGCAGAACACTCCAATGATCTTCTATCATAGCCATGTTTTGTTCTAATGATGAAGTATATGCAAGAGTGAACAAAGCAAAAGGACACATAGCAAATAATAAAATGAGCATGTGATTATTCAACTCCTGTTATTGTTTAGTAAATGTTCTAACACATTTAATTTTGAACAACAGGATGTTTGATTAAAATGTGATCTGAAAGTACATACTGAACTTGAATGAGTACAAGCCCACAAAGCTATATGAATTGCATCTGAACATCCTGAAAGAAATTTCTAATTTATTCTTGCCAAATTTTCTCTATGACTTCTCTATGACTTTGAATTCTCTAGAGTTGAGTCCCATTGATTTCCTTTGGATTTGTCATGTGTGACAAATTAATTTCTATCTCTCCAAATTTGTGAAAATACAACTGTTTACAAAAGTATGCAATGTTAATAAAATAAATAAATACATGTGATGATTCATAACTTTTACCTTGGCTATAGAAAAACCTATAAAACTATTGTAATGTGTAAGCTTTACAGTATACTAGGTTAGCAAGATAAAATTCAGTCTAGGCACTAGAATTAAACTGACTCCAACTGAATCAAGTAGAGAATAGATTAGAAATAGTGTCTTGCTTTTAATTAATATGAGCATAGAATTATTAAATATTGATTCCTTAAGAATTCCATCCTATATGATGATTTCATATGATGAGAATTAATTATTTGCCAAATATTCAAAGATGAGAGATTTCATAAAACAAACATATTTTTATGGGGTTGGGTAATTCTCGGTGAGAGAAATGCAACTAGTCTTTCTCTGATATGTTTTAATCCAAGAGATTTCTGCAGAAGTTGTTTTTAACCTAGGTTGGATCAGGTGAGGAGAATCAATTCAGGAAAAAATGGCAGCCATGTTCTCAGTGAAAGACATGAGGTCCCATTTCTAGAGTATACTATTCTCAAAATGAGCAGTTTAGTAGTTACGCAGAAACAAAAAAATGCAACAAAATGCTAGTAATTTTAAGATGAAAGGGATGAAAGGGATTATATGCACAACTTACAATATAAGAAATACAAGCTATAATCACTACTGGTGCAATCCTCTGCATTTCCACTCACAAATAAATCTACCAAGGCAGAGGGACTTATTCCCAGTTAAATGTTGAATGTCTTTGAAACCAGTTTGTTCAGTGTCAAGACTTTTGACTTTAAAAAGTTGATCTAATGTCTGAGAACTGGGTCTTTATATTCATTACATTTTT